CTTGTTAAAGTTTAACAAAAGGAGGTTGTTAGTGCTACCTATGGCATTCTTTGCTGCAAGGGGTCATGCAGTTAAGCTGCTCAGGATTTTAAAAAATACATTGGATGCCATTCTAGGCACTGACTTCTGATTTACTTGTTTATCATCTTCAGTCCCAGTAGGGGATGTAAATATTAAATCTCTCAAGGCTGTCCTCTGATTCTCTAGGCTGGTTTTGGCCTTAATACTTGCATCTACTGTCCAACTAGTGGTGATAAAATCATAATGTGAGTTTGTATAAATGAAAACTTATTTTGGTTTATCGAGCCAAGAGAAGGAGGACAAACAGTGGAAAAAAACCTGATGGGATAATGGGCTCTGTTAGGGTTGTAATAGCAAGGTAACTATTATGCACTTAGAAAGGTAAAAGGCATTAATAGCAGCTCAGATGTAAATAGCAGGTTGGTTTGGGGTAGATCTGGTAGAATTAATCTGTGCTATGGAATATTTTTACTAACATTAAGTTTTCTTCAGTAATCAATGCCTGTAAAATCACGATATAACAATGTAGAAATCTTAAGAGGAAAAATTCAGGAGTGACTGGTAGTGATAGGAAACTTTGACAATATGCTACAGTGTGGTAAAAAGACAAATTGAATGGACTATATTGCTTCTTGGCTCTGCAAAAAATAACCAGGAACTGCAAAAGGAATCACTGCCTCCTAAATTTAGTGTAGTGTTTCTCTGCATCTCAGCAGAAATAAATAAAAGGAAGAAAGTTGTCATATGTTATTACGTTTTCCAAAATATCTTTGAATTAATTAAAGAAACTAGGCAACAGAAGAAGTAAGATGGATAAGGTTAATATATAAAACAGAAGGAATGCATTAATCCATAACAAATGTGACAAATTCTCTGCTTTGCTGGGTAACTTGATAGCAGACTACCACTTTCATTACTGCCTTCATGCATGGTCCTGCTTCTCCTTCCTCACCTCTCTTTTAACTCCAACATGCATTTGAAATAGTTTAGTTTGCAGACTGATGCCTGAAACAACCAAATGTATATATTTGCACTGCAGCGTAAAGAAGGATGCTAATTTGCTAATGCTGATGAGAAAGCATATAAAATTTAAAATTTCAGTTGTATTTGGAATGAAGTTGGGGTCGGGGAGGAAGCATTGTTCTTAGCGATGTATTTTCTGGTTATCCATTCTTTGGGATGTAGTTGTGCTCTAATCCTCTACAGCAGAGACTTGATTTTTTGGTAAAGGGTGCCCTTGTATTTACAACTATGACTTCAGCTATTCCTGGTAGGGATAGAAACCTCCCTGAAGCTGGCCAAGGTAAAAATCTTTATATAAAGATCTTAGTGCACAAACACTCAGCAGATACTTCCTAAGGTGCCAAAACCTCCACAGGCTGTTCCTATTGTCTCAGTTCCAACATACCTCTTAGCTCATATTTTTGATTGACGTGTGTATCTTGAAGTCTGAGTATGTTCTCAGCTCACCTTGTAAACAGACAGATACTGGTACAACGGGTGGTATGGGCTGTGAGGGGGAAGCAGGGGTTGGGGTAGTGAGTAGGCAAACTGCTGCCTTCTGGTGACAGCACTGGTTTATCGTGGTGTAGAGCAGAAGCCTGTGTTGCGCTGTCATCTCTGACTCTCAGCTGTAACTGCTGCTTTGGGCTTAGCTGAGGTTTCTTCTGAGAACCTGGAAGTTCCTTGTGCTCTGTGATTTTGGCTGAGCAGGACTAGAGAGGAGCAAGGAAAAGCCAGGAGGCTTGGAGTAGGGAAAAGAGAAGGGTGATCAGCAAAACAGGATGCTGGGATGGATTTCAGTGTCTCGGGCAATTAATGACAAAACAAGGGGAAATGGGTTTAAACTGAAAGAGGGGAGGTTTAGATTAGATATTAGGAAGAAATTCTTCACTGTGAGGGTGGTCAGACAGTGTCCCAGGTTGCCCAAGGAAGTTGTGGCTGCCCCCTCCCTGGAATTGTTCAAGGGCAGGTTGGATGAGGCTTTGAGCAATCTGGTCTAGTGGAAGGTGTCCCTGCTGATGGCAGGGGGGTTGGAACTAGATAATCTTTAAGGTCCCTTCCAACCCAAACCATTCTATGAAATGTCAGAATTCTTAGCTACAGAGATGTGTTTCCCACTCTTTCACAGAAAGGACAGCTAACACAATTCAGCTGTTTTTCACTGTAACTCTCCCTAGACATGTATAGTACTTGGAGAAAAAATTATGAAAGTGTTTGGAATTAAAATTGAAATATGTTTGGTGGAGATCCCTTTCTGGTTGAGCGCTCTGAAACTTCATCCATAGGCAACCAACTTCAGATGATTTCTTGCTGGAGCTTGTTCTGGCAGAAAAGATGAAATACCAAACTGAAAACCAGCTGGTGGTTGCCAGCATTCAACAGCCTAATTTCATTTGTCTTATTCAAACAGAATATATCATGCCTTATAATGGGGTCTTACAGAAAATTGAGATTTAGGGGCAGGGGGGTAAAGTGAAGCCTGCAGACAGTTGGGCCCTTAAACAGCTCCCACAGCAGGTCATCCCGCTCTCAGAGCAACGTGAGCAGCAAAGGCTGGTGTGTTCAGTAGCTACGCGCACTGAAATCTGCAGGCTGTGTCATCGCTTTGTTTAACTCCATGACCTCACCACTTGTTCAGCAGCTTCTAGTAGCTGTTCTCTGTACTTGTCTTAGTGATTTGAGCGGAGCCCTGGTATCTGCAGCTCCGTCAGCTGAGTCAGTGTGCTAATTAGTCACAAAGGAGCCGTGTTCCTGCAGGACTGGCACTGGCTGTGTTTCCATCCACTGGAACAGCTTCTCAGTGCTGTGTTTGTTCCCCTCTCTGTACAGCAAGAGTTGCCTTCAGCTGCCCAGCTGTCAGGTTAACATAGCCAGACCTCACCAGTAACGTATGGTATGGGCAAAAGGTCGGTTTAAAAGTGCTGAAGAGAGCAATTCAAAATATTGTTGGGAAGAAAAATGTAATCAGTAAGTATATAAGTGATTGGAAATTTAGGGGACAAGTCAGCTAAAAAGTGCAGTCAGTGCACTCCCAAAATTCACTTCTTGAGTTCTTGATCTTTCTTCTGTGTTTACAAAATGGAAAAAACCCACAAAACAAAAAAACCTTAACCCAAAAGAAAAGAATAAAAAACCCCAAACAACAACAACAAAATCCCAAACCCTTCTCTTCAAACTGTAAAGTGAAGGTAACTGTAATAATTTATTCAGAGGAAAAAGGGAAGAGAAGATGAACAAAAAATACAAAAACTTGATAATGGTAGCTAAAGATGTCAATGGAATATCCAGAGCCAGGAGAATTAAGGATTCAGATTAGGACAATTAGAAAATGTTCAGATACAGCAGGAGGGGAAGTTCAAGCTTCAGCAGTGTATTTGGTCAGTAATAATCACGGTACAGAAATGGCTGCTAGTTTTAATGTAGGAGCAGAGGACTGAGGAGGCTTCCCGAGTTACTGATTCTGTTTCTTTTCTTTTGCTGGCAACACTACTATTTAGTTATTACTATAAAATCATTAAGTACAGTTAAAATTCTTTCAGATCTCCCTTTCAAAAAATAAGATGATACAGTTATTTCTTCTGTGAATAGAACAGGAAAGTTAATTTTATAGCAGTGGGCAGCTGAGAGATCAGGCAGTAACTGTAAAATACTCCCAGGTGTGTTCAGAAGTGTAACACCAAACACAATAAAAGGTGATTTTTAGCTGTTACTCTGTCTTTCTTTGTTGGAATACGAGCAAGTTTCCAAAGGACTCAAGGTAAACTTTATGCTGGTTTTAGAAGTCTGGAGTAAATGGCATGGTAATTGCAAGCTCAGCCCCAGCTTAACTTGAGTGCAGGAGCAGAAGGATGGGCTGGGTGGGTATTGTGGTCTGTGTTAAATTCCATCTAGATTATGTGACTGATACTTGTAGCTCTTAGAAAACTGTGGATCAGGTCAGAAACAAAAGCTGCTGCAGAAGGTTGAGCTGTTGACAGGTAAATGTTCCTGTTAGCATGTGATGCTGCTTTTTCTAGATGGTGTTTTGCATCCTCATAGTAAAGTTCAGAGCACTGTCGCGCAGGAGGTGACATCTCCACCAACTCCACGTCAGTTGTACTTCCTGAGGGAAGGGGAAGGCAGCACGCTCAGCATTGTCACCCCTTGTTTTTAAAAACTGGCACTGAAAGCACTGGGGAGGGGGAAGAATCTCACACAGCTTGTGCGTGGGCTCCAGGTGGAGGACTGGGAACCAGTATAGCAGGGTGTCTTGCACAATACTGGTGTAAGCGTCCATTCAGACTTCCTAAATATCGTGACATGAATTTATTAGATGTAATTACATACTTCTCTCTGGATAAGCAAGCAAAAGAATTGGCAAGGCCTTTCATTTGGAGTAAGTTCTGATTTTTAGGATGTGAAATCATCAGCTATCATGCAGTTTTAGTTAAATATTATTTGAGGACACTTGTTTTAAAATAGTAACTTTTACCGATACTTTTACTGAAGTAAGGCTGAGTTTCCAGAAGATACACTGTGTGAGTAGGAGGATTTAAAACTTCCAAATTTTTTGTAATTAAACAGCAATGTCCCACTGATTTTAAAATAGTCAATTTTTCCTGTTCCGATTCTTTCCTGCTTACCAGGCCCAGCATTAGTTTTCAGAAAAGCCAGATATTCAGAAGCTACTGACATACTTTTTGAAGACTAAATCAAAGTTATTAATACAGTTTTTAAGATTGGAAACTTGCTTTCTTTTTAGCCTTTTGGAAGATACTATTTTCTTAAATTCCAGTCCGATGCGTTTGTTGTTACTCTTGTAACATACTCAGAAATACATTCGAGAGTTTAAAATATTTGTATCAACTTAAAATCCGATTTTATTTTTGAATGAGATATATCTTAAATCTGTTTCAGGAAATACCCTTAAATATTAGAAAATCTTCATTTTTTTGATTCTTTAATATATTTTCTTTCTTTTTTCCCATATCCTCTAGTTCTCCTGCCTTTGATAGATCGTATGGGAGATGCCAAAGACCAAGTTCGAGAGCAAGCACAGAATCTTATATTGAAACTGATGGACCAAACAGCACCGCCCATGGTATGATTACTTACTGCAGATTCAGATGAAGACCTTCAGTGAGCTTATGACTTATGCATGGGCTTGACTTTGAATATGTCACAATGTTATAGTGACTTTTAGTGCTGTAAATGTTACTCTTAATGGATTGACACTGATGCATTGTTCAGCTAAAGATAGAAAATAGGCACAGTGCAGTTCTGCAGTTTTTGTATATTATAGCAAAAATCTGAGGTGTTTTCATGTCATGTGGCAGGACTTTGTTAATTCGAGCATGTTTGAAGCAACCTCCTGGATGTGAGTTTGCATAATGAGAATAAATAAGTTTATTTAGCTCTGAATTTATTTTAAAATTAGCTTTGTACTTGAACATGTAGGAGTAGTCCTGTAGTTGAGATCATGCATTCTAACTTCGAAAATCTGGCTTTCTAGATGTATGACAAACATACTGTGTGAGCCTTGGAGAAACTGAGACGGGGATAAGTTTCCCTTTGCCTCATCATCTTAGGTTGAAATTTGAGTTAAGCAAACCTTTTTACAGCTCTTGGCACTATGTGGCTTCCAAGTGCTAAATCTTGCATTTCTATTGTGCGTGTCTGAAAAATGTAGGATTGTTTAATAGGATTATTTTGTTTGAGCAATGATGTTATTTGGAACTCTGGAGACCCTGGTTGTCAGTAGGAACTGTTATTTGAGTTTTTAATTTATGAAGAAAATATGTTTCCAAGTTTTAAGTGCCAAAGTTAATAAGGAATGTCTTATTTTTTGTGAATGGAAACGGGGTTCTTTTGATTGCTGATGTCTGCCTTGGTTTATTCATACATAGAGGTTTGAATGTTTGGATGAAGGGACTAAGATTTTGCAGACTTGATCTGCAGTGGCAGAATTGGTTTTGATGGCTCTGCCTGCCTGATGGGAAAAACAGGTAGTGTGTTAGGCAACTATAGAAACATATTTATCTCCCTTGCAACATGAGGCAGTTTCTCACATGGGTTGGTCACAGGTTTGACTGGGATTTAGGTATCAAAGTCTTGTAGCATCATCTACAAAGAGATGCCTTTACCTTTTTACAAGATCTAGTTTTGATCGTATTCATTGACAAAGAGACACTGCAGCATTTTTTCATGCAAGTAGTTCAGGAGTGACAAGTTCCTGTGCCCAAGATGCTCCCAAGTACCTGGTATGCAGATCTGAAAGTACAGCCACCTCTACAGTAATAACATTTGGATATGTGCACAGCAGAACATCTTGCAGACACCTTCATTTGAACAATTGTGGATAAAGAATGTGGTGATAGTTGCTTCATGCTAGGCCCTCATCATGAAAGAGTTTTAGATTACTGGTCCAGCTTTCAGTTTCTGAAGAGTTGTTAGGCTGTACACTGAGGTGAAGGAAGGAAGTTTCCATCCCCTTTGAAGCTTGCTCACAGTGTCTAGAAGAATACAAGGTTCATGGGGTCCAAGGAACAGTGTGTGTACATAACAGAAGGTATGGCTCTTCTGGTAACTCCCTTGGGGCAGGAGGAACCTGGCTTCAGTTGTCTGCTCTCAGGACAGCTTATGTATCATTAAAAATTTGGCTGAAAAGCATCAATTATCCTCACAGCAGGGACCAAAGCAGAGAAGCCTTTCCTGTGCCTCCAACACTGAAATATAGAATTTTAGGCTCCCTTTGTGTCAGGGAAACATCTCTTTGGAAGAGCTGGGTGGAATAATTTTTTGGGGATAAGTCCTTGTAAGTTCCTTTCCAGTCAGCTAATCTTGTCTCTTCTAGTGTGTTGTTGAATAATATTTAATTTGTCCTGCTGTCATTTCCCTTTTCTTGTTTTATATGTGTTTGGGTTTTTTGTTGGTATGATTTGCTTGTTGTTTTTTGGTTTGTTTTTGGGTTTTTTTATGAGTGAGAACTAGATGTAGCTGGTTATGGGCAGGAAGGCAATAAAAATAAGAATACAGGTGGTATAAATGTATGAATGGGACAAAGGGAGGTTGACACTGAGTGTTGCTAGCAAGTTCTGAGAGTTGAAATTTCTAAGCAGCTATTTGAATGTCTCTTTAGAAGAATCCAGTTTCTAAAGTAGGGTTAATTTAGTGAGAGACTAAATTTTAGTTCAGTCTGCTTTGTTTGTTTCAGTACTCTACAGTTACCTTTCTACCTGTATTTTTGTACACCTAGCAAGGAGATTTCCTTTTTTCCATGTTTGTCCAGGACAGTGGGTTAATTGGAAGGATGTTTTCTTCCATAAAATCCTATTCTTTGTTGTTAAGCTGTGCAGTTTTGGCAGGCCATATCCTGCTTGTCTAAGGTTTGTTTTCTCTAAATGTAATGAAGCATAAAACAAACAAACAAGAAACCACAGATGGGAGAAAATGATCAAGCGAGGCTCTAATTGGAATTTTTTATGTCTGCTATGATGTGTGCTACCTCATTAATGAAGAGGATCCTGCAGTCCCTGCTCTTACGCTGCCTGTTTTTGTTGATCAGTGGCTGTTTGTGAGGTTTGGGGTTTTTTTAAAAAGATGTATAGGATTGCAGTAACTTGTACCAAATACATTTTAGTGGATTTGTATGGAATTGCTGTGTGTTTGGAGGAAGGAGGGTGGTGCCCAGGCTGCACAGCGTGCTCTCGCCCGGTGTGCAGCCATCACTAAGCAACGCTCCCCGAGGATGCTGGCGGGGGCTGTAATGGCAGCGCTGCAGCTGGGCGAGTTGCAGTCTGAGACGGTGAATCTTCCCCGAAACACCACTGAGAAAAACACCACTGAGAATCCCAAGTCTCGTAAGCTTCACCTTTATGCTTTTTACACTGTATAACGTCCAACTAGAGAACGACAAGGAGATGGAAAGGTAAAAAGATAAACTGAGGAGGGGAGGGCTAAAGGCAAGCAATGAAAAACGAGTGCGCAAGAAGGTACATGAGGGTTTAGCGAGACAGAGAGTCGTACCGCAGGAAGCGGCGGCAGCACAAAAGGAGAAACGAAAGCAGAATGAAAAATGGAAGCAAAGGAATTAGACTGAATTAGGCAAGAAATAATTGAAGAAATAAATTTAAAGCAAAAGTAGGAGAGAAGTGGACAGCAGGGGTATGGATAAGGACGAACTAAAATGGACGAGAGGAAATTTTGGCAGGGAAACAGAATGTGTAGCAAAAAGAATATAGCAACTTCTGCTTGAGTCAGTAGTTTGTAATGCTAATGTTTGGTTTGTGTGTGTTAACTGTAACAATTCTGTATGTTTTTAAGAGCTGTTTCTCAGGCAATAAAAATACTCAGCTAGATTCCTGAAGGAAGTGTTTTAGAAATTGTTTTTGGCGTAGGAATAATCTGTGTGTTTTATAACTTAATTTTATCTGAGAAGTGCCTTTACTTTTCCAGTGAACCTCTCTTCTGTTATTTTTTTTGCAACCATTATGCATGTAATTATAAAATATGGGTAGAATTACATTGTATTGTGCTCCTGGTAACCAAAGACAATTATTTCTGTTTCTATAGTACATTTGGGAACGCCTTGCTGTTGGTTTTAAACACAAGAATTACCGATGCCGAGAAGGAGTGTGTTTGTGTCTTATTGCTACCTTAAACATGTAAGCTTTCTGTTTCTATGGAGATGTAAGGGTTCTATCCTTCTTCTGAATGTCGTTTTTCTCTGAAACTAATACTTTGGGTTGTCTGATTCAATTAAATTAACAAAAGGGAACAATCAAACGACTTAACTTGTGAGCTTTCTGAAAGGAAGACTAAAAGTATAGTATTTTTATCTTATTTTAAAATATATAAAGGACTAGTATAAGAGAATGGAGATTGATTGATGTAAGTTTGGGTTTTATATGCTAAGTTAAAAGTTTGCTTCTGCATAAAGTATTTTCTGTTTTTCTGTTAAAAAATGTATTTAACTTTTTTTTTTGTTTTTTTTTTAAGTTACGGTGCACAGCCATTAATCCTCAGCAAGTTGGTACCACATCTGTGTACAGCGTTTGGTGACTCGAATAGTCAGGTGAGGATATTGCATTACTTACTGGTGCTTCAACAGCTATACTTTGACAGAGGAATGAAAGCAAAATAAATGTAGGCATTTAAGAAAAGCTGATAGGCTTGCTTGTATTCAACACATCATTGTTTTCTACCATGAGAAACAATAAACCCATTTTCTTCTGAATCAGTCCATCCATTGGAAGATGAAAGTAGATTTGCAAAGGCAGCAGTGTTGTGAGTTACTGGCCCCTTTAGTTTTGTCTTCAGAGGCTGAAACTAGTCATTACTGAAAAATAGTTGTTTCTTAGAGCAGATGGTGAAAGAAAAGAAAAAAAAAATACATTGACAGGAAGAATTACCTCCAGAAAGAGCTCCTGCCTGTAATAGTCAGCCAAACTTGCTAAAGATAACCTTAGCATGTGCAGGAAAGGTAATAATTTCCTAAATGAAACCCAAATGGTGTTTGAGCACATGCAAGGACTGTAGTTAAAATCAGTTAAATAAGCAAAAACATCTGCAGAGAAAATCAAGATACGGTTCAAAATGGTGACATCTGACTACAAAAAATCTTCAAATAGAAAATGGATATGATCTCTCTTCAATTACCTGAAGTTAAGTCTGAGAGAAAAGACTAAGAATACCTAAGAAAGAAGGCAGCATTGGTAGGAGATGGGCAAATAAACAAGATAGGTCTTATTTTCTGGGTGCAGCGAAGTCCTTGTCTCCTCTGTATAGCATAGCATTGTTCTGTTCCAGAGAAAATCTGTTAAGAATTTGTCTTGTTTGTTGGTCATTAGTAAAGATGTAGTTCATATCTTGATAGAGCAATTGTGGGTTTAGTTTGAACTGTTACAAAGAACAATACTAAAGTCATTCCAGCAATTCTTTATAGAGAATAACAGCATTTACCAACACACATTTTTGGCAGTTTTTATTGTGATGACTGTGGTTTAAATTTTTTAAAGAGGCACTCCATCTCCTTGCTTTAACTGGTCTTTCCTCTTCACCTGTCTTGTCTTACTGCCTTCGTTGTGCTTATGTGATGGCACGTAATTCCTGTTGAAGGAAGTAAATAAAACACTGATCACTCAGGCCCTCTCTTGTGGGCAATCAGGTCCTTAGTTTTCCAGAAGGGCCTTGCTGGAAAGCCAGATGAAGTGTCAAGACTGAGTGCAGGGACTAACTTTTGGAAGTATTGCCTACTGTGTTAGAGTCCTAAATAAAGTACATTTTTTTTCCCTACAAATATTATTCTTTTGTCAATCCCAGAAATTCCCTCTAGAGCTATTATTTCTAGGATTTTTCATTTACCATCTGGAGATGCTCTAACTTGGAACAAATACCATCTTGAAATAACAGTTGTATTTCCTTTCCCTTCCATCCTCATTGTTTCAGCTGTTTTGTGAAACGAGTTGGCATGCAGGTCTATAGAAACTGGAAGATTAGTGGGTTGTCGGCCAGTGTTTTGGTTTCTGTAATCCTGAAATTAACAGTTTTAAACTCTGCATCCACAGGTGAGAGATGCTGCCGTACTAGCCATTGTAGAGGTTTATAGACATGTGGGAGAGAAAGTACGAATAGATCTTACAAAGAGAGGAATTCCTCCTGGAAGGTGAGTTACCTGTTTTGATTTTGTGATCATGAGCTGTTCTGTGTTACTGTTCTTTATCAAAACTTTAAACTCACAAAAAATTTTGTTTTAAATTTATTACAGTTTTTATTTTATCTTCTAGTTAGTTTTGCTTCCATCGTGATGTTACTAGTCTTCCTGACTTCCTTTTGCTGTTGTCTTTTCTGCTTGGAAGAGGCATACAGGTGTATGATGAAAAGCAGCCTTAAATTTACCACTTAAAATCCCCTGACTTCAAGAGAAGCTGAGAGCTGGACAGTAGTAGAAAAATGTTTTAAAAATAAGCAAATATATACTGAGTGCAGCAGGGAAATAATTAGAAAATACTTGAATGTATACATCTTGTTCCTTATTCTAGAGTTGCTGTTTTGCCTCAGTGTAGAAAAGTCTCAACTGAAGCACTTAAATCAATTATTTTCCTGTATTGTGCATATGTGAGAGAGAACAAATGTGTTTGTTCATGTGTGAGTGTGCAATGAAAGTATGGCAAATCAACAAGCCTCTACTTTCTTGAAGATAGCTATAATGGAAAAATTGTCTTTCCTTGCTTCTTGCTAATTACATCAGATGAATCCTTTCAACCCTAGATGTTTGCTTATGGACTTCAGTTAGATGAGAGAGAGAGGTGCTTTTCAAAAATAACTGCTCCTCAGTTCTGAAGTTTTAATTCTGGGGTTCAAGGAGAAAGCAATACTCAAAAGGATTGTTCATTGCTCTTTTACATGTGCCATCACAGGACACTGGATGTTTCTTGCAAAAGGTCCAAGGAAGTTTTGAAAATGTGTACTTTGTCAGTCTTTTCTCTTCCTGAAGAGCAATTCTTGTCTTTAAAGGCTGGTCTGTGTTGTGTGTACGTTAGTTTATGTGAAATAAAAATAGTCATTGTTTTTTGTTGCTACCTTGGTAAGAATTTGTTTAATTAAGAAAGTTAGAGCTTGAAATTGTACTTAGTGGGAAAGACTTTATACAATAAAATCTTTTTCAAATTCCTTATTAAAACAATTTACACTTTTAAAAATAAGGTCTTATTTTAAAGTCAATTAACAATTGATTATCAATTAACATACAACTTTACTTTGAGTCTTCATCTCACTTCTTTATTTTGATAAAGCTGAATATATCTACTACTTGGTGTCAGAGAGAATATCAGAATAGATACTGTGCCTCATCAGACTCTTCTAAAAATTAGCCCTAATTTTTAATGATTATTTCTAGGGTATCAAAGTATCTTAAGAGAATCATGTTGAATGTATTGTTTCTCATTCCAGGCAGAGTTCAGCCTATCCGGACAAAAGATTACCCTGCCTATGGGAATGGGAAGTTGTACACGTTCTATTTAATGGCTCTCACAATTTTAGACTATGAAGAGATTGTATGGTTACCACAGAAGTTTAAGCTGTATTATTATTACAATTCCATATGTTTCATAGCAGATAATTAGAACATACCAGAGCATATTCTTCTTGCATTAAGACAGGGTCTTGGACATCTTTCGGAACAGAGAATAAGAGCAAAAGAGTGCAGATAACGACAGCCTTTGTTTGCGCTAGAAATGTTGGGTCTGACCATAAGTTCAGGTTAAGCGCTCATCCTGTTCACATTTCCATGTGATACAAACTGAGTAAATCTTGGGATCCAAATAGCATTCAACACCACAGCAGCTCTGTATCCTCAGAGCAATCAACAGCTTCTGAATCAGCTGAATACAAAATTCCCCCTCTCTGAAAGCACGCATAGTTGTACCATTTGCATTTACATAAAGAAGCAGGGCTCTATTTGGTGCATGTTAAATGGGTTATTGCCACTGAATCTCAAGAGTTTTGTACCTGACAGTCAAAACTAATGTCAAATAATACATGAGCTGAGCCTCAGCGTTGTGTCCTTTGCAGTAGGTTTCAGGTTGGGGTGAAGGAGGGAGTTAGGATTTACCTGAGTTGAGCATGAGGTTACTGGTCTCGGTCCCACCCATCGCTGACAGAAAGCAGAGTTCCTGTAGTCTCTTCTTCCTCCTTCACACAAGTAACAAGGCAGTTGACAAAGCTGAGGAAGGACAAATCAGCTCCATGGTAGCTCAGACTGCTGTTCCATCAGAGGCAGACCTAATTGAGGATGTCTTCCTCAGTGCCTGTCAGAAGTTTGTCCTTCACTTAGATGTGTTAAAATTTTCCTGTGGTTATGCAGGAGCCGTGATCCGTGGGAAAACCCCTTCGATGTAGAGTATTATCTTGTCATTGTTTTGAGGGGAATCTGTGTTCATATTTATGTGTCTGGGTAGGTTTTAAAGGTTTTAAGTATTACGGATAATCTGTAGTTCAGACACAGCTGCTTTCAGTTGTTGAGTTCAGCCTTAAAGAACAGCACTGCAGCTCCTTCACTATAGGAGAGTGTCTTAAAAATTGTGTGTAAACATAAATATTAGCAGAAACCCCATTACTTCACTATTTGGTGCACACTAGATTTAATAGAATGTAGGCTTGTTTAGTTTACATAACAAATCACACATGAGAGATCTGTGTCTTGCTGCTTGAATGCACTCTGCCCTAAAGCATTGAAAATTAGAGCTCATGTCTGCTGAAAGGAAGGCAGGAAAGTTAATCAGGCATTGTTTTGAGAAATTGTTCGACTTCCTTAAATATGCAAATGGCATATACATGTTGTGTTTTCATAAAACCAAATGTAGTTACCAATTTAATAATAGTGGGCTTAAAATATTTTGTAATCTGCACCCAGTAAGTTTGCCTTTGTGGAAAATACTGGATTTTCTAGAGGTTATTTGACTTGTCGGAGTCTAGGTAGTCAATAAGAGAAGATGGGATCTTACTCTTGTAGTTTAACTCTACGTGCTACTACTGTATTTTTCTTCAGTGCATTTTAATTCTTTACAGAGATTAATTTGTGAGTTTGTTTATAAATAAAATCAGTAAGTTCCTCTTTCTAGTTGTTGTTTTTTCAGTTTAGAAATCTCAGAATAATATTGTGCTTTTTTGCCTGAAGCACATTCCTCTTTCAAAAAAATCGGTACCAAGTCAGTGGTTGAAAATTTGGATGTTGTTTTTCCTTTTGTTAAAGCTGCTGCCAAAGAGGTTTGACAATCTTTGGTGTCGGGCTGTAAGTATTAGTGTGAATACTGAAACTGGATGTTATATTTCTTGTCCTGTGAGCCAGGAATAGTGAACAGGTTTTGTCTATATGGGCCAAATTGAATTTGTTACAGTATGGAATCTATATGGTTGATCTGCCTTGAATGGAAATAGTATATATGTGGCTCTGGATACCAGCTGCTTAGTCTGAGTGTTAAAAGCTTTTTAAGATCTTTCAGGAAGTCATCTGACAACTTGTCCTACTGTTGCTTGAGAAACATAAATATATAAAACCAGTTATTTGTTTAGTTCTTATGTCTAGGGCCACAGCTTCATATCCTGAAATGTGAAAGCATTTTGCAGTATGCATTTCTGAATACCATATTTTATGTGGTATGCACATTCTACTTATCTGTCTAGTTGACATTGTAGATGAGGTCCATCTGTGTGTCCAGATGTGGACACATGTCTGTGCAAGAGCTTTTTTCTTTTTGAAGGGGGAAGTAAGTGTGAGGTCTTGTATGGGCCATTTCCTCCTTTTTAGGCTCACACTGGACATGAAGAACAGACTATTTTCCACTCTTTCTTCTTTACCCTCCTGCTCTTGACAAGGGGAGTGGTACTTTTTTGCCTGTACATCACAAGGTCCAGACTTTTAGGTATCCCCCTCTGCCTGTCATGCAAACAGTTGAACTCCATCAAACATAGTCATAAATAACAGCTTTTTCAGTCCAGAAGTGTGGTGCATGTTCTTTGCTAGCATCTGCCTTGCCACGTGTGTGCATGTCAGCTCAAGCTGTGTATTCCTCTGAACGTAATCACCATAATATGTTAATCCTTTGATAGAGACCTGTCACCTGCCATAGGAGAGGGCTTAGTAGGTTGCCAGGAGCCCTATTTAAAGTGCTACAACCTCATACATTCATTCATTCATGGAGATGGCAACAATCATCCAGCCCATGCAGAAGTGGCCTGCTGTCCTGAACGTGTGTTTTTCATCAGCGGGGATTTTTCCTTACATATGTGAAGTTGCACAAGACCTGTCTGTGACTTTTTGGAGAAAAAAAATAAAATTTTATTCACTGGTGACATAGTATTTCCAGTGACTGATGACTTCACTGATTGATTATGCATGTTGTATCCAGACTTGGGCTTGCAGATGTGAGATACAGGAGCAAAAGTGCTGCTCTTCTCAAAGAACATTCCTCATTACTAATGACAATGAAACCAGTCTTCACCCAGCCCTGTAAACTTCCTTGGATTCCTCTTGGCCAGGCTCTCTTTTGCCAGGAGCTAAACTCCTGTAAACATTTAAAAACTGATAGTGGTTGCAGTAATTTCAGAGACCTTAGCCCATACTGCCTTGCTGCCTGTGGCACTGTGAAGAAATCCAAGGAGATGGTGGCATGAAGGGCTGGGTGGGAGGAGAGGGAGGAAGAGACTTGTTGTGAGAGGCTTTGCAAAGTAGTAGTTACAGTTCCTGTAAGCTGTACTAAAGAGAGGGTTGGATCTACAGTAGGGCTTGACCATTTTGTAAGCTGTGTTTACTGGATTTATTTATTTAATAATTTTAAAAATTATTTTTAAACTATTAAATGATGACAGAATACCATAGCATGTGCCTCTGGTCATAAAGACGTGCTTTCAAAGTAGTAGTACTGTGTTGTTCTGCAGCCTGCACCACTGACTACATAGCATCTAGTGCTGGCAAACATGGTTTTTAATGTGTGTATCAGAAATTTTGCCCAGAGTGAGAGGCAGTGTGTGTATTATTATGATGCATTTACATGGGAGCATTTTGTTTTTATCTTCTGTTTAAAATACTCAGGAAAGCATTTTTAGAAACTAAGTTAAAAAGAGCAGGAAATATTTTTTTTTTTTATTCTTTTGAATTCTCTAAAATATGTCTGCCAAATGCCTAGCAGGATATAAAAATTAAAGGGAAATTTTAAAGACTGTCTGTTAATCTGTCTAGTCTTCAGCTTCTTTCAGGATAACAGTTTCAGGTTTTCAGATGTGTGTTGAGGGGAACTTGAAGTCACTGGTAAAGAGTAAAAATATTTCCTATGGTCCATACAAAGCAAATGCATTAAGTTCCTTTTATGAAAGCCAGATGGCATAATGCATTGCTATGTGTATTGATTCTTGTGTGAGCTTTTCACTTTGTACGTTTGAAAGCACACAGCATGTTAATGAGATTCCATGTGTCATTAGTAAATGCTGGTACCTGGAAAGTATTTCATGTAATAACTGTAATTCTACTTTTTCAAGTCTAAATACAAAAAAACACCCCCTTTTTGGTATAAATTGCCTTTGCTTTACAAATTGACCTTTTCATTAAAAGACTGAGGTTTAATATTAAAGCAGTGTAGTCTGATATTTGTAAATTGCTGCCATTTCAGACATTTTGCTGAGGCTGCACTGGTTGTAAATGCAATGGTGACACAAAAGGGAGAGGATAAGAGGCTCCAGAGAGAAGAGCGACAAGTACGTTAGGGGAAGACTATGCAGGTGACTACTGAGTTACATATAGTTTTGAGATCAGTTGAGATCATAGAATCATAGAATGGTTTGGGTTGGAAGGGACCTTAAAGATCATCCAGTTCCAACCCTCCTGCCAGCAGCAGGGACACCTTCCACTAGACCAGGTTGCTCAAAGCCTCATCCAGCCTGGCCTTGGACACTTCCAGGGAGGAGCAGCCACAGCTTCTCTGGGCAACCTGTTCCAGTGTCTGACCACCCTCACAGTGAAGAACTTCTTCCTAATATCTAATCTAAACCTCCCCTCTTTCAGCTTAAACCCATTTCCCCTTGTTCTGTCATTAACTGCCCTTATGAAAAGTCCCTCCCCAGTTTTCTTGTAGCCCCTTCAGGTACTGGGAGGCCGCTATAAGATCTCCCAGGAGCCTTCTCTTCTCCAGGCTGAACAGCCCCAACTCTCTCAGCCTGTCCTCATAGGAGAGGTGCTCCAGCCCTCGGATCATCCTGGTGGCCTCCTCTGGACTTGTTCTAGCTGCTCCATGTCTCTCTTGTGTTGGGGGCTCCAGAACTGGACGCAGTATTCCAGGCCTTACAAGAGCAGAGTAGAGAGATGGTAGAATAACTGCTGGTTTAGGTGATGGGTTATTGACTTAGACGGTTAAGGGGGTTTTAGGTTTTGGTTTTTTTAGATGCTTAGGGTAGGGTGGGCCTTTTTGTAGAATTCTTGGCTAAATCCAGATAGTTCTTGTTGTAGACCTGTTAAATACAGGACAAATTTGCTGTGTAGCAGATTGTTTTGAAGTATTTGGAA